AAGTTCTTGAAAATCTTCTTTTGAAATCGACGTCAGAGCTTTGAACTCTTCTTCTGTAAAACTATCAATATCATCCCAGTTTCTAATACGTCTATTTTCATTGGCAACTGTTCTCATACACTGTAGAAATTGAAGCATATTTGATATCAAATAGGGTTTGTTGATAAAATTCAAACCTCCATGCAAATTATTCAAGAGAAATCCATGAGGGTCAAGATGATGACCACAAATTCTCAGAAAGTCCGGAACATAAATATTCGTTACAACAAAAATGTTCACCCTACATGCAAGAGTTATTCTCTGAACATGTTGACGAGCATTACAGATTATGCAGGCACGGCTCATTACTGGACTCAATACATTTAGGCGAAGACAGTTTGGGTTATTTTCCATCTCATTGATATCAATTATTACACTGTTATGACAATTGAAACAAACTCTGGTATCATCAAAAATGTCAATTGGAGGATTTCCAGCAGCTTGTCTTCTAAATGTTGCAATTTGCAGAAAATCAACATTATCTTCACGATTTATACGAATTGTGAGTCTAGGAATGAAATTCCCTTCGCATACATAACATCTTACCCTATTTGCAAATGCCATAATGCGCACTAAATTCACTAAACAATTACTGAAAACGACTTAAAAAACACTCAGAATAAAGATATACGCTGATATGATATTTTAAGATACTGACAACCCGAAAGTTGCTGGATGACAGACACATTTATTGATATCATGATTTTGTTTTCTAAGCCTACTGAAAAATATTCTATCTGGTTGCGATAATCCAAATTCGACTTCTACGAAGTAAAACATACTTATTAATTCGTGACAACCCAAGTTTCTAGACTAATTCGACCCCGCCGATTCCGAAAATATCAGTTGTCAACTTGAATTGGGACTAGAACTTACCCTAAAATATAATTTTATAGTTATTTGAGGATGTCTATCGATCTATTACGGTATGTATATCTTACGATATACATTACCTAATGCCACTATTTCTTCCAACAAATAGATGTTGTTGGAAAACGAGTTGGTTCATGTATTTTTTCAAAATCTATGATTGCAATTCTGAATTGATATTGAGTGGAAGAAAGAGGCTTCGAGATTGTTTCATTATTATTTTACTATATTTTTGATGTGTTGGATAAATGATGATTCCTCGGTACCTACTGATGTTCCTGTATTCCATTTTTCTTTCAAGTCTATACTGAACCCGGTAACGAATATCTACATAACCAAAACTCCAACTTTAGTGTCTTTCCGATGTGCATATACTAACTTCGATTCTAACAATATACAGTATGATCAAAAGATTGGAAGTTGGTTGGATAAAGGAGAGTTGCAAAATATATTAACGCGCACCTCTCACTAGGCGTTTGCGGAAGTTTAGTTTCATATTTTTTTCGAAAAGTATAGTCATAGGATTGAGTTGGGAAAAACCGCTGTCGACTTGGAACGCTCATGAGTTTTAGCACGTTTATATGAGTGGGATCGTTGATGAGTTGTGTCGTTGATGAGATTTTTTCGGGGGCATATTGTGATTTGTTTGATGTTTTCTGAAAAACATTTTCGAGATGTTTTGCTAGCGGACCTATAATAAGACCACTAGATTTTGTTTACGAACAAATCACATTTTTTGACATAGTTGACTAGTGACTACTAGTTTTGCGATTCGGAACAATTTTTCGTGTTATTATGTAATTACTTTTCCATAATTATTTTCACATTATTCGATGTATAAAAAAAACTAGTCATAGCATGGGTCTGAAAATTCCCAATTTGATTGAAATATCCATACTGAGTATATTGGTGGAAAAAAATCTTACATCGACGGTAATAATTTCGAATTAGAGGGTGATGAAAAAAATAGTGGTTTTTGAATATTTTTTCGTGGTTGTCAATTTTTTCAATCGATGAATCACTCTGTATATCATGGAACTCATTGGGATACATCCTTCAAAAATATTTTGAATGTCTGGAATCAACCCGATAATACGAGGTGGCCCAATGAACTTTAGGATAGACCAATTATGCAATCAACAGCATTAATGAAACACCATGTATAATTATTATATTTTACGAATTCAATTGATGTAAGAAGAGCATACTTGGCTATAAATCTCATTTTGTAATTGTTATCAATTTGTAGCATTGATATTCAGATATTCAAAAAAACACATTATTTGAAATGAGAATCACCCTGTAATAAAAATCAGTTTTGGTCGAATACCTATATAGTTCTTGCGCCTAAGGGCATAACTATTACGTGCTCCCGAAAAATTGGAATTCATTTGTCCTATCTTAGAGATATAGGCCGAGAAAAATTAGGTATTCTTCAACTTCAACACCCTGTATCTCGTAAACTAGTCATAGGATTGAGTTGGGACTTGGCATATTCAATCAGTATGTCGAGTACTATCATTTACCAAAAATTGGGGAAATTCGACGGAACGCCATTTTTATATAGAAAAAGTGCGGGGTCCTTTAAAAAATACTGAAGAAATAGCATATATTTAGAACAATTGATTCATCTCAAAAATACTCCAATAGGTTTATGGTACTGAAATGACAAATTATCTAATTTTCTATGACATTTTGTAGTTATTCCAATATTAGTAGAAAAGTGGGATGATATGCGAGTCAAGTCTGCTTAGGGAGTGTGCTGCCATAACATTGGAAGACTGACAGGCCCGTTATGTTTCTCTGTTGTTCTCTGGCTTTTGAAGAGATCTTGCCATAGACAATATTTTCAAATATGCAAATATTATCCAAGAGTGAAATTGAGAATATGAGCTTTTATAAAGGCAATAGCTGATGCTCTGAAATGTTCATCATGTATCTTTTTCACTCTTCATTGCAAAAGATTTTTCTTGTAGAAAAAAGATAATAAATATTTATAAACTGTCAAGAATGTGCAGATTTCAACCCTAATCATATTTTGGGCTATTCCACTCTTAAGAATGAATGCTCATGTTTTGAATTTTTGTTGAGTTTTATTCAAAACACGTTTGACATGGATTTCTTTCACTGTTGAATTTTTCTTCTTGAAGTGCATCTAATAATAATGCAATGAATATTCACCAAATGCTACCAGATTTATCTGTTGGAAAATTAAAATGAACTAATTCAGTTGATCTTTGGTAGAAGTCCATATTGCTCAAAGTGGAGTGAAATATTTCATAGGAAGGAAGGAATGCTCGAAGTCATCTCCACAAATTTTAATGATATTTTTAACTAAATGTCCCTCTTGATTTAGTTAAAAATATCATTAAAATTTGTGGAGATGACTTCGAGCATTCCTTCCTTCCTGTGTAATTCAGTTGACATTTCTCCAGTTTTATATTGTTTTCTATTTTCCATTCACATTGGCTCGAACTTCAAGGCACTGTATGATTTTTGATATGTAATCAAGGGTAGATATTCACAGTTCATAATTTCAGTCCAGTGGAAAACTATTAAACTGCATAAAAAGGTACGTTCATGTACTGTCATTTATCGATTTTTTCATTATTTATAAATATATAAATCATTGTTAAGCTACTTAACTCAACAGCCAGTCGGCATTGTAATATACTTAACACAAAAAAAATGAACACACTTGTTCAAACTAAAAGTACAGTAGAAGTTTAGTATCATAGTATCATTTGCAAATAATCTTGTTTCGCCTTTCAGAATTAATCTTGGTATTGAGTTGACATGAACAAGAAATAGGGTTGGTTTTAAAATAGACCCTTGGGGCACGCCACATTTGATTTCTCTTTCTGTGCTTGAAAATGTCCCCATTGAGACAAACTGCTTTCTATTTGCTAATTAATTTTTGAACCAGACATGACAATTTCCTCTTACGCCCAAGGAATATAGCTTATCCAGCAGGATTTTATGGTTCACATTGTAAAATGCCTTTCGTGAATCAAGGAAAACCATACATTTTTATTTATTTCCTTACCATTCTTTATTTTTATCTCTTTCTACTTGTACTTCAGATATCATGTCTGTTGTTGCTGATACTGTGTCACTTGATTCGCGAAAGCCATATTGACGTTTGTAGAAAAAGAGTATGCTATTCAGATAACATTTCAGCCTAGTGTTTACAATTTTCTCTATTTCTCTATCTTAGATATAATTGGCATAACTGATATTGGTCGGTAGTTGTTCACTTTGGCCTTCTCACCATCTTTATATTGGGCTATACCACTCCTGAGTGATTGATTCATGCGTGACATCCGAGTCCATGAGTGAAAACAATAAGATGGAAGTGATATCGAGAGAACTGTAAAGTCACTAGAAAAGAGATTATTGGACATAGCTCTCACAAAGAGATAACCGTATACACGTGTTTTTGGCTTTCGGCCCTCATCAGTACGGTAAAAGAAAGTGCAATGGATGGGCACTAGGTAGAAAACGAAACAACAAATAAACGCAGGTAGCTATAGCTGCCTCCGTGGTGACGTTAGCTGTTTCCCTGAGACCTCAGGGTCTGCTGGCCGAAACCAAGAAATGTGCGACTGGCTGGTTTGTTGACTCCGTTTATTTGTTGTTTCGTTTTCTACCAAGTGCTGCCCATCCTTTGCACTTCCTTTCACCGTACTGATGAGGGCCGAAAGCCCGAAACATGTGTATACGGTTATCTCTTTGTGAGGGCTATGTCCAATAATCTCTTTTCTAGTCACTTCACAGTTCCCTCGATATCACTTTCATCTCAGTAATAATAACAATAATAGTACTTTATTAAACAACAATGTTCAAATGTCTATCGACCGTAGTCCTGCCACTGTTGCCAATATTATCAAGGGCTTTGTTAATTTAGATCTAGATGATGAAGTATGTATAATTAGTTCAAGAAATAGCAATGTGTGGGGAGTGTAAGACAAATTTCGTTGCAATAATGAATTGTTTGAATCCTTCCAGTTCTCGATTATCCGATGTTCCTAAGTCCAACGTCCATACCTATGTACAAAAATAATTATTTTATAATATTTATCTTATTCTAGGTTGTCAGAACTGCCATTGTCGATGCCTCTGGAGTAGCATCCCTCCTGACCACCGCAGAAGTAGTCATCACCGAAATCCCGAAAGAGGAGCCGCCAGTCCCAACAGGCATGGGCGGAATGGGAGGAATGGGAGGAATGGGTGGAATGATGTAAAATCTCTGTTACAAATCCAAATAGACTAATTTTTCAGTGCGGAAACTTTGTGCATCTACCAAAAAGTGTCTGTCAAGAAGTTCCATTATTATGTTTGACAGATAGACTTGTTTTCCTTTGAATGGTGGTTGAGCATTCGTGTTTGGATTTCATTATGTTTTACACGAACTAGTGTGAATGATAAATCGATAGTTTTCTTCGAAAAATGATCAGAACAGGTTAATTTTCCAGGTTGAACGGTTATGTATTCATATTCATAGTAAATTTTTATAATTTTTATGAAATGATTCCCAAGACGAACCTTTCTGGTCATTGAACTGATCTGCATTTAATTGTATGTCTGGAATGTTTGTAGTTTTTTATGAGTTTCTGTAAAATGTATATTGTTATAAATATATTGTTATTCTTTTTATGTAATCATTGCTTTTGTCAGCGTACATACATTAGACAAGTAGGGTGAAATTTTGATTTTGACGAAAAAAATCTGTGATCAGCAAGGTAACGCCGCCCCTATTAATATATTATAAGATTCTAAATGGAGGCATCGTAAATAGACACAATTTCAACACTCACACATTTTTATCCACTCAGGACGGCTTGTACAAAAATGACCGTTTTTAAAAATACAACATCGACAAGTGATTCGTTCTGATGCTATGATGCTAATGACTAAGTCTGCTTCAATCTTCGATCACTCGATGATTATGAATACCGATAAGTCGTCGAATGCGCTTGTGATAAGGCATTCCTTAAGCATTCTTCTCAGTTAAGGGGTGATTTGAACATCGTCGCTAACATTATGGATGCCAGCACGCTCGGACGTCGGAAGACGTTTTGATGTTACCAGGCCGGTTATTTATTGGTCGCTTTGGTATAGTTTATACTTACGAAGTCAGTTGAAAAAGCAAAAAAAAATTTAACTGGCTGCATGTCGACAAATCCTTTGACAAGCCGCAACTCACAGCGGCGGGTCAAATATTTTTTTCGTTTCCACAAACTAAAGCTGTTGTTAAATGAGTTTTTGGTTGTTCGCAAATTACCTATATATCCATTTTGAAACAGAGTATCGAAAATTGGTGAATTTCCAGACCACCCATGAGGCACCCATGGCTGGTTACTTGTTTTTAGTGGGTTTTCGCCAATAGCCCAAGAGTCCTACATTTGAAATATGAATGAATTAAACTAAATCAAAATTCTCGACAAAATAAAATATGAATATAACATTGAACATGATAAAAATTATCAGTAGTATAAAGAACTTCAAGATATGTATGTAAAAATATGAATAAGATAAGTACTATGAAAATGCCAATAATTCTGAATTTCTGATTGGTAGAGTTACTTTATGTATATACACGTATATTTGAGATTATACAAGGTAACTTACAAAATTGAACATTGTTCTGATTGGTTCAAAATCATACGAAGAAAATAATCAACAAAATAAAATATGAATAACATTGAACCTAATGAAAATTCTCAGTGAATAAATGGTATACTCTGAAATGTTTTGTGTTGGTGAAATTAGAAATAGGTAAAGTTCCACAGTTTCAATTTTAATGTCACATCACTTTCCTACACTTACACAATTTCACTACATATGTCACCTCTCTTTCCTAAACTTCACACTTTGGTTATGATAATCACAATATGATTCACAACACACCACTCATTAGTTTTCGTAACTGTTGTACACAAATACTGGATGATATATCACTAGTCACTATCGGACTATTCATGACTTGAATCTTCATTTACCCTAATGATCACTGGATACTGTCCCGATGGTGGTTGAAACTGACTCGCTAAATTGCGGTGATTGGTTATTTTCACGTACTTTGCTGTTAATAGCAGCCCAGACCATCTCAATGGGGTTAAAAACTCAGTAATATGGGGACAAACGTAAGACAGTATGGCCGTGTGCTCCAAAGAGTTCATCAACTACATATTCTTCCGGGAAATTTTGTTTCCTGATCTTTTCCAGTAATTCGTTCTTCAGTTTTTCGGGAGATATTTCCATGCCATTTTTCTCCATAAATTGAATAGTGTCAGCCTTTTTCGTGTTGGTGCTCGGTATTTTTGTTTGTTGACGTGAATGGTATGACGCATTATCCATATCGACGACTGGATTCTCTGAAATATTTGGTATAAGTTGCTGTTCTGCCCAGTTCTCAAATAATTCTGCCGTCATATCCTCGTGATAATCGGCAGAGGATTGCTTGATATTTTCTACAGACAACAACAATGCATTGTCAACAAATCCATTTTTATTGCCGGCGTGAAGGATTATAATTCTTCTGCCTCTCGAACTCGGACCACTGACTCACATTACAGTTTTTGCGATCATCTATACCCAACCGTATTGAACAACGTCATGAGTGTCGAACCACGTTCCATCTAGATTATAGGTCTATTCGCTTCACAGTATCCCTTTATTTTACGTAGATATATATCTATTCTTGCCGATGGTCTACGATGGGTCTTGATTCCATAATCACCATCCTTTTGTCTAATTTCTTATGCAATCTAGTAAAACATTTCGCAACATTCTTAACGATTTGTAATTATAAGCCGCGTATTCAATCAACTTATCACTGATATCTGACAATGTTGGCACCTTATTCTCAATCTATATACAATTCGACAAATTACTTCTTTAAAAGCATAACCAAGCTTTGTCTCACTCTTTTTCGTTTACATAACTTCATGATCTATATACAACACCTCCGGTTCTAATAAGTCTGTATATGGTGAGAATAAATTATTTCAGTTAATTCCTGTATTCTTTTCACAAGTTGGTTTTCTGAAGAATCATTTTTCTCTTCCTTAAGACGCGAATAGACATTCAAAATTACCCTTTGCGTTTGAACGTGTAAGTCTTTATTGGCGAACTCCGCTTGCTCTTCTTCCGAATCACTATCACTCACTTCGTTGACATCATGAAAAGGCCTCCAGAACACAAAACCACTACTATTGAAATACTGATTTTCCTTAAGACGCGAATAGACATTCAAAATTACCCTTTGCGTTTGAACGTGTAAGTCTTTATTGGCGAACTCCGCTTGCTCTTTTTCCGAATCACTATCACTCACTTCGTTGACATCATGAAAAGGCCTCCAGAACACAAAACCACTACGATTGAAATACTGATTTTCTGAATTTCGAGTTGAACCAATGAAGGCAACCTAGCTCGTACCGCACTGCCCAGCGCAGGCTAGAAGATTCTTATCACAGAAGACCGCCCATGCAACTCTGACCAATCAACATTCATAAGTAACCAATGAGACGCACTAAAATGCAAATTTCGTCAAAACCATATGATAGCAATCGAGTCTCATCAAGAGAACCTTTTAAGTAAATGAGTATTGCGCAATCTAAATTTCATACTCAAACTCCTTTTCTTCCATTGACGTAGGATTTTCATAGGTGTAATTATTTAAAAAATCAAGTTCTACGCCTATGTATTATTATCGGACAAAATTTTAACACCATTTTTTTTGCCACATAAAACTCTATCAATATACCAAATTTCAGCAAAATCCATATATGCCGTTTAAAATTTATATGGGAAAAAAGAATTGAGAATTGTAACTTCAAGGCCCCCTGGAGTCCAAACGATGCAACTTTGTACCAAAGTAATTTTACTAAAATCGACTTATTTTGGTCTAAGGAATATGTGGTATGTTTTTGTAAAGACCTTTTACAGACACCCTGTATATGAGAAGGTATATATATGCAACGAAGCTCAACAAGGACGAAATTGGTACTTGCACATTTTGGGGTGGTGAACCCCAACAAATCCGGTAAATTAAGACTAGTGTTTGATGCTGCAGCAAAACCTCGAGAAATAAGTTTAAATACACATCTTCTATCTGGACCCGATCTTCTGAAATCACTCATAGGTGTATTAATGAGATTTATACAAAATCAAGTTGCATATGCAGGTGACATTAAAAGGAGATATGTTTCACCAAGTTCTTATTCGGAAAAAAGACAGCCCAGCCTAACTTATTCGAGGGGAAGATGTATATTTAATGAACCTGGCACTTAGATGATCGTAATGACATTCGGTACAACTTGTTCACCATGTCTTGCACAATACATCAAGAACCACAATGCGGAAGAAAATGAGTTCAAACACCCAGATGCATCCAAAGTGGTTATAGAAAAACAGAATGTCGATGATTATTTGGATAGCAGTATTTCAGAAGATAACCATAACGAATTCAACAAGTGATAGAAGTTCACTGGAGAGGATGATTTTACATATGTAATTTCATATCAAATTCAAGAATGGTTCTCCAAAGTATTCCTGAGCATCTCAGAGCCAATGTTTCTGAAAATATCGAAGAATTTTCCCAAAATCGACCAGAAAGAGTATTAGGCTTGAGATGGTTACCAGAATCTCAAGATGGATAACAACAGAGAATGTATATGATATAAAACATTCGTCGCTCTTAGGATTGGAGAAATTTTAGAACATACCAACTCATAAAAATAATTCATACTGGATTCCCACTGAAGAAAATGTCGCTGATGAAGCCGCTCATTTCTGCAAAGACCAAACACTCTCCAGAAGATGGTTTACAGGTCCATTATTTTAATAGGCGAGAACACGAATTTCTGGAAAAAATACCATGGCCTTTAGTATGACGATAAAAGTCTCAGGTATTTTTTTCAGATTTTTATTCGAAGTAGTTTTTCCACAAAAAATTTGCAAAGTATTGATCCCGTTCAAACGAGCTGGAATATCGCGCGTTAATGTGACGTGACAAGTATTAGACGGTGATCCGGCAACGTCGCTTGATATCTTCTGGACTGTTGACTGTGTGGACAGTTGACAATTCGTTCATCTGTCACTACTGTCAGTTGTTATTTTATTGTGATGTTTATTTATTTTTGTCGGCCAATATTATTTTTATTCGTGCCATCGAATGCCATTATTTATTTTTTCTCATCAACGTTTATTCACATTCCTGGGATGGCAGTGGCTGTAAGGA